TATATCAATAATTAAATGATTTAAGATGGATAAAGACTGTTTTCAAACCATACAACATGTATGATATGTAAATCATCTTTAGATACATTTCAAAATTAGCTTAATTAGAATAAAGAGAAAAAACATATTGCATAAAACATATTGCACAACTGCATATTTTTTTAAAAAAAATATTTGTTGTCTACTGTAATAACTGTAGAGTGATGAGTATATGTAATAAAAATAATATATGGTTCATGGGCTTTGTGAACCTACCTCTCCAGCCATAAATTGTCCAAAACCAGAAGGAAACAATAGTGACGAAATGAGGAAAGAGACCATCACTGGATACACAAGACATCTAAGAACATAGATATATAACAGAAAGAACAAGTAAGCAAGAGTAAAACAATAAAATGCTTTAAAACAATAAACAGGGCATAATGCATGTCTAACAGTTACTGAGAAAACCATAGTTATTTATGCATCGGTGAAAAAGCAACGTAAAGCCAATCACTACATTATATTTATTTTTATAGGTACATTTTTTCCTTTATTTACTCAAGTTTGTTTAACTTAAAATAATACACTCACAGGCCACCTTGCTGGGTATACCTATGAAAATTATTTTTAAGGCAAATCTCAAATTATCCAATCACATGTCAGCAGCTCAATGTATTTATGCATGTGGAGTTTAGAGCTTTACCATATCATTCTGTCAACCTATGACAGTCATTTATTCCTTTTAAATGAATATAAGAAACTGGAATTTTGTGCACAGGTTTGAATGTGTTTGGGGTTTTCTCTAATACACATAGGATCAAAAGTATGCAGAGACACTAATATACATATGCCCCTATTATTATTTGGTCGAATGTGTTTTAACAGTTGAACTTCGACTAGACTCTTGGTAGCTTAACTGAAATCTGTAGCTTGACCACATGGACAAGCCAAACGCCTTTTGGAGAAAAGTATTAATTTCTGATGACCAAACATCGAGCTGGCTGGCTATAATGACAAGCGGTATGTTTGAAGGAGTTAATGTGAACTGCACCAACTGTCAAACATGCCCTGGGTCTGTTTTGTACGGAGCCCCTCTGATGACATGGTCCAAAAAGTAAATAAATTGTG